AGGCACACCCACTGAACCTGATGCTGGAATTCAATGCAATTCAACAAAGTTTCCACTGTTTATAGACAATGGTCCCTATGAGGGTGGATGGCAATAAAAGTATTTCACATAACTCAACAGCAATTCTTTCTTCCATCCCCTGCACCTATTTTTTAAGGATTATTTTATGGGGCTTTAAACTGTTTCATCAGCATCTCTAAGGAGGATGCACAACAATTCAAATAATTTTTCTAGAGTACCAACAAATGTAGCATTAATCTTGGCTTGCTAGGCCTTTTTAGAAGGTCTTAATTAATCTAGATAATGCAACAGCAAATTAAACTTATCACATGTATGCCTTAAACAATACGTGTTGGAACAATTTAAATCACATATTGATAGAAATAGGTTCTGAGTTCATGTGTTCTCAGGAGAAAAGTGATATGTATATATAGGTCATTAGCCTAATGAGGAAAGCTATTGATGCCCAGCCCTGACCACAATGAAAGAGAAAGTATAAGGAGGATGACAAGTGTCCCCAAAAGAGCCTGCTGGAATCTAGAAGAAATTGTTTTAGTGGCATGAATTAATCAGGGAAGCACCAATCAATGATCATTCAGCATTAATTCACCTATAAGAGGCATTCTTAACATGGGATCCACAGACTCCAGAGGGATTGATGGATAGATTATAGAGGGGCTGTGAATTTGGATGGGGAAAAAAAAACCCTAGATCTTTATTTTCACTAATCTCTAACTGAAACTTAGCAAAAAACAATGTTGTTCTGAGATAGCAATTCATAGGCTTCACCAGACTATCAAAGATGTCGATGACACAAAAAGGTTAAGTATCCACATTTTTAGCAATTAGCGGTCAATCTTTTTTTTGGTCCCTATATCCCTTAATTATCAGTAAACCTTCCATTACCCCCATTCATTATGAAAGGAAATAAATTCTAGAGTTTGCCAGATATACACACACGCAAATGAAATAAAATGAAGAAATTAATTTTATAAAGAAAACCTTATTGGGAATATGACTTTTTTTTTCATCTAATACCGCTACTTTTGAAATATTTCAATAGGATAATATAATTATTTATCAAATATTTCTCATGCCCTCTTGAATGGCTTCTGATAATTCCAAAGGTTTGGGGAGGGCGATATGTGTACTCCAGGTTGGGTACCACTGCCTTATCACATGCTTAGCCATACAACATGCTATAATCAAGCCAATTAAATACAGGATTTTATTATTAGTGGTGACAAGCATTGTGTAGTACAAAAGAATATGGATTTGAATTCAGAGAGCCTGGGTTCAAAGCCCCACTCTGCCACATACTAGCTGTCTGATGCTGGGTAAATGATAACTTCTCTGGATGACAATTTTTTCGTCTGCAAATTTCTAAGGTCCCTGAGTTTAGCAAACTTTAAAGTAGACTAAAACTCCATACTAACTGCTGAGATGTCCCTGTGGGAAACTCATGACTTTTCCTCTCAAACTGGTTCCTTACTATTACTACTACTACTACTACTACTACTACTACTACTGCTGCTGCTGCTGCTGCTGCTGCTACTGCTGCTACTGCTGCTACTGCTACTACTGCTACTACTACTACTACTACTACTGCATCTGGGGTCCTTCTTCCTTTTCTAGTGGCTCTTCTCTGTTCTGTGCAGCCCCCTCTGTTTAGAATCATTCATTAGACACACACACACACACACACACACACACACACATACACACACCCCTCAAATGGCATCAACCCAAACCTTTAGACCCTAAGTAACTACATTACGGAACGAAGAACAGACATTAAGTAAGAATAGATATCTCCTTCAAAAAGGGGTAGTGCCATTGGACATCATTCTTACTAGAGAAAATGGAGCTTTCAGTGACATCCTGTGATTTGGACTTTAGTTTTTACCTCCTTAAGATCAATGAAAAACCGTAGAGGTTTTCTCTTCAGCAACTTAAGTAATGACGAGTGTGATTTGCGGGCAAAATCACTGACCTTGGCTCTCTTAAGTATCCCTAAGCCGGAATCTGTCTATTGAGATAGAGATTAGATGATAGACAGACAGACAGATAGATAGACAGATAGATGACAGATATGAGAGAGAAAAAAGAGGAAGAGAGAGAGTGAGAGAAAGAAAGAGAGAGAGAGAGAGAGAGAGAGAGAGAGAGAGAGAGAGAGAGAGAGAGAGAGAGAGAGAGAGAGAGAGAGAAGAGAGAGAAATTCTTAGCTCTTTCCTAAACTAGCAGAATTGCCTTAGCCAAGTTATCTTAAATCTCCTGGATAAGTGTTTAAATAAAAGGCTCTTAACAAGGGAAGAAATCAAAATTTTATTTTAGAAAGAAACATAAATGCCTTTTGATAAATGAAAATCACTCTAAATGCATACTGAAATTTCCAGCTTTCCTAATCTAAACATTTGTTTGCGTTCAGTGACATATTACAGTCCCAAAGGGTAAAGAAAATTATAGACAATATCATTCCCAAAAGACCCATCAACTCGAGATAGGAAAATGGTTCTTTGAGGGACTTTTTCCTTTCATATCACATACTGTCTCAAGATAATATAGATCTAAGGCCTGTTTTATATATGCTATCTAATGAACCCTAAAAATGTGATACTTTAAATTTGTACTTTTATCTTAGAGGCTCCTAAAAAGGTGATCATTTTCCTAATTATCCATTTTACATTGGATCATTTTTGAAATCAATATTTGCAAATTGATTATATTTATTTATTTTAGAATTCAGGACATCACTGGAATGGCTATTTTTTTTCTGTTCCTTGTTTACCCTGGGGTGAGGAACTGCAATACTAAATTATCAGGAAAGAAGAAAAAACAAGTTTCCTTGTAGCTGGTGCTCAGGATTTTAATAAGTGCTTTGCCCTGTTGCTTGGAATATATGCAAGCTTAGGGGTCCAGGCTGAATAGCAGAGGAGTAAAGCTGCTGAGAATGTTCACAGATATCTGATTTTACAAGTTTGGGGGAAAGTGCTTTCCTTTGGATTAGTGTTAGTGTTTATGGGGGCTGTTTGTCACACAAGAAATGAAGTGCCTCCTCCCCACAAATTAAAGAATCAGGTTGCAATCCATTCTTTCATTTCTAATTGTTTTTCTTTGTAATAAGTGGGAAAGTGGATACCAGATAAAAGTCTTCTCCAGCCAAGACTTCACATTAAAGGCTCCAATTAGCTATAAATCAGTTGTCTTTCCTACAGAAGCGGGCAGGGGAGAGGAAAAGGGAGGGAGAAGGAGGGGGGAGAGTCCAACTGAACAAGAGAAGCGAAGGAGCCTCAAAATTAAAACCTGAGACAGATACCTGCTCTAGCCCTAACTTTAGCTCTCTGAGAAGGCTATACAGAAAACGTGGCCAAAAGTAGAGCAGCAGTAAAGCCAAACCCCAATAGGCCGTGGGAGATCTTTTTTTTTTTAAATGTGCCAGTAAAGCCATCACTATTTTTCTCTGGTCCATAGCCACTGAAAATTATTAGATCTTAATTCTTATTTTTTAATTAAAATGTTGTTTTTAATATTGAGGAAGCCAGGGACCTGCTATTCATTGCAGCTTTTATGTTTGGAAATTTTTCTCCCTCCCCTCCTGCCTCCTCTGCCTTGTTCCCTATTTGCAAAATTTGAGAAAAGTTTGGCACAATTGTTATGCAAAGAAGGTTAAATAGCTGTAACCATTAATAACTTTTCATTCTACCCCTCTTACCCATTTGTCACACCCCCATAAACCTAACAGGTAGAAGAAATCCATTTGTCATTCATAATATGAATTATCCTCATTTAGTTCCTAAAATTCAATACAAGTGAAAGCACTTCTAATGCAACACTTCAATTCAGTACCTTTTATTCACCATAAACTGTAATGTGGAATATAACAACTGATTTTCATACTAAACAGAACTTCACCATCAAAAGCTTGCCAGAAAACACCTTTCAGTGCTGGCCTCTTAAAAAAAAAATTAAAAGGTGAACCTTTTTTTTTTTTTTAAGAAAAAAACCGTTAAACAAAATGGACAAATGCAGGAAGACGAGAGTATTTTAAAAACCAATTACAAGACATCTGTCATAGTATTTCTTCCTTCTATTTTATTATTATTTTTTTAATGCCAGCTACAAATCTCTCAGGAAGTATGGTTTAATTTTTAGCTGACAATTTTCGATGGAGAAAAAAGGTATAAAGAAATTCTAAGGACGATTGATAGTTAAAAGAAGAAAGTGTATTCTTTTTTTTTTTTACGTTAACAATTAAAAACCCTTCTAGATTCTAGGTTATAAAAAACTTGAACTCCAAAGTGAACCTGCTAACATACACTTAAATGTTTAGTTTCTAAGGTTCCTAGAAGAAAAGTCACTCTGCAAAATTCAAATGAAATGCTGGTAGGTATCAGAGTTACGTTATAATATTATCAGTTTTCTTACAATTCTTGGAAAAAGCACTAATATTTTCCGTCTTCACAATTTTCTACCGGAAAAAAAAAGGCACCAGCAACAATGTCAATTCAAGGGCAAAATTAGCCCAGAGATTTCGTCCAACATATAACAATCTAGCAGAAAGGAGCGCCCTTGGAAAACTTAGAACAGTGAAAAACCAAGAAGCCCCATGGGGCAAAGACGTTAGGCTGGGAAAGAAGACCCTCTCCTTTGCCCGCTGAAAAGTTGAAGTTGTTCATATAACTTTCTCTGAGCAGTGAGGAGCAAGAGAAAGAAATGTATGAGGGTCACTCTAGACCAACAGAAAGCAGAGAAGAAAGGAAAGAGTCTACTCTGCAGCAACCAGGTTGGAGCTTTCCAAGATTTTTGCGGAATCTGCTTAAGCGTTCTTGTGGTCCAAAGCTGTTTCTTTGGGATTTCAGTCGCAGGATCTGGGAAGGTCAGACGAGAATGGATCTCTAGCCTCCTTCAGCTCATTGTCCCCCACCCGCATTAATCAATTGAAAAAAAACCCCTCCTTTAGAAAGGAACCCCTGTGGAAGAGGACAATGGTGTCTACTTACCTTGGTATATTTGATCTCAAGGTTGAGTGTGGGCGAAGGTAAAAGGTGCAGAGATGCCATCAGGGCGGTGGGGTCTGCCTTCACCTCTCCAGGCATCTCAATTTTACTAGAAGTCATGGTCTTAAGGTTTCCTAGCACACACCCCTTTTTCCTTGCCTTGGAATTTCTCTAGCTCTCATATATATAGAGAAGCAAGTGTGTATATGTGTGTATATATGTGTATGTATATATATATATGTATATATATACATATATATATATATATATATGTCCCGGGGATCAGTGTGGAAGATTTAGCTCTCGCTCTGTATATAGGCAGGTGTCAAGCTGGGTCTCTTCTTATTGGACATGAGGGCAGAGGCAAGGGGGGCTGGTCCATCCTACCTAGGACGATAGAATTAAAATCCTCTATTTACATAAACCACTCAGCTCCGATCAAGGAGAAAGGCTTAAGTCAATCAACACGCAACAGGTCATGGGCTCTCGCTTGGTCAAGTCCACCCCGCCCCTCCTCCACCACCACTACACCCCCTCCCCGCGTCCCTCACGCCCTGCATCCCTCACTTCTCCCAGTTACCACCCCCTAAGTCCTAAGTGCCCCCTCCCCGAATCCCCAGCCCCCAATCCTGCCTGGAAAGTGGGGAGAGCGGGGAGAAGAGGAGCTAAACACAGGGATCCTAGGTATGGGGGAGGAAGGAAGGCGGGATAGGGGCGGGCGGAGTGGAGAGAGGTTTATTCCCTCATCCTTTAAGCAGAATTAGCACCTCGGGACTAGGCGCACCTGGGAAGAAATCTTAGCGGGGTGCCTAAGCAGGGACCTGGGTCTTCGCTTAAGAGAGCAGAAGTGGCTACTTTTGGAGAAGTGAATTAGCAACCAAGTGCTAAACTGGGCGGGGGGAGGGGAGAAAAGGGGGGCTGGGCGGGGAGGGTATGTGACAACTCTTTCTCTGTTAGAGCTCTCTCGGCAAGCAGCTTCCCGGGCGCTCGCGGGGTGCCCGGAGGAGAGAGCGCAGTTTGCGCTCGCGTTGGTCCCCGAAGCCGTCTAGAACCCGGGTACAACTTTTCCTTAGCGAGCGGAGAGAGACCAGAGTGCGACGCCCGAGGCGACTTTCTGGGCTTCTAGCACTTCCCCGCTCATCTCCAGCTCGGGGTGCTCGAGGTGTCCCCAACTCGGGCTTGGGCTCCCGGCTTTACAGAGAAGCCTAGGCGTGGCGTTCAGGGCTCAGCGGACAGAATTCTGAGCTGAATTGTTTTCTCTCTGGAGAGGAGTGGGAAGGGCATTACCCAATTTCTTCAGTATCCTGGGTTCCCCCCCCCCGACACACACACACACACACACACACACACACACACACACACACACACACACACACACACACACACACACACACACACACACACACACACACACACACACACACACACACACACACACCCCTAGCCTCGGTCGCGAAACTACTATGCCTCTCCCAGTGTGGCTCGGAGAGTGGGAAGAGAGCCATTCTCTGCACCGCTCTCCTAGACGCCGAGTAAGACGTCACAGGGCGCAGAGTTGGGGGGGGCCTCCCCAAGAGGAACTTCCCGCCCCAAAACGCCTAGCGCTGCTGAAGACACCGACATTAGGTGGCCAGAGCCCCCCAAGCTTCAGTGCCGGATGAAAACTTTCTCCTCGTTCTTCCACCCTCCCCCAAAAGTGCAAACGCCCTCTGTCCGCTCCGCCCCCCATCTCTGTCCCAGAGCCCTGGCAGGTTCCAGGCATCTTCTCCTGTTGAGCTGCTGCCCTCTGCCGGGCCCAGAGCTCACTGAAGGGAGGACCAGGGCTAGATGCAGGGCTGGGACTGGGGGAGCCCGTATGGAAGAGGTCCCTTCGTCACGCTATTCCAGCTTTCCTACCTTTCTCCTCAATTTCCTGCTCATCTTTTTATCTTTCGCCCTCTGCTCTCCTTTCCATTCGCTTTCCTTTTCTTAGGTATAGAGATATTCTACTCAAGCTTAATCGTTAAAGCCCCTCTTCGTGCTTTTTGTTTGTGTGGCCAGCACCAGGACAGGGCATGTGTGGCATATGTTTGTTGGCTAATTCTAACTCTAAATCCTACGATCTCATGACCCCATTCTCCACACACTAGTTTTCTTTGCTTTGTGCTTCTTTTCTCTCTTCTCCCCTCCATTAATCTTTCTTTCATTTACTTTTACAATCCTTATCCTTTTGCTTGTCTGTAAAAAATTCATCCGACTGCCAGATGTAGAGAGCACCACAACTTCTCGTGGAACAGAGCTTCGGTCCCAGTCTTTAAATTTGGAGCAGCAAATACTTGGGGGGGAGGAAGTTTTTTATTCCTCCCTTAAATCACATCCCCTAATCCAAACTTGACAAGAACCTTAGGATTATGCTCTCTACTTTTCCACTGTGCAGGGTCCAGCATGCTCTCTGATGCCACTTCAGAAGCAACTGAAATTACAGTTCCATTGGTTCCAGAAAGCAGTTGGGTCCCCCGGTTATTTGTCCTTTCTATATCAAACCTGGAATATCAGCCCTCATTATGGACGTCTGTCTAATTAGCACCCAGACTCTCAATGAAGAGGGGTAAAAATGAAAGACAAAACTTTAGGTTTTTTTGTAGCCCACCCATTATAAAGTTCCAGTGTCATAAAGTCTAGATTATTTTACTTACTCAAGGGAGCATTTCTAGTTTGCAAGGAGAAGGGAAAGACCTTAGGATCTGGCTAAATGATGGGACCATGGGCACATAGTAGGTACTTAACATTAAGTGAATGAGTGAGGATGTAGATGAAGAGAGGATTTTTTTAAATGGGGAAAAAGTAGAGTCTGATTGGTTTGGGGAACAAGGAGATAATGAGGAAGTAGAGACATTAATGAGAAAAAAAGAATATTAGTGATAGAATAATTGAAAACATTTATTAAGCACTTATTGTGTGCAGAGCACTTTATTAGGTACAGAGGACGATACAAAGGAATTTACAGTCTAGAAGCAAAAGGGATTGTTGGCATAAATTGAAAATAAGCCCATTATTTAATTGAATTGCTACATATTATATATCAACATAATAAAATGAAGTCTTTTTAAGGACTAGCCAGTGTACTTTTAAAGCTATATCATACTATGGAAAGGAGAAAGATACATTTTTGTCTCACCATAGTGCTAAGATTAAAAAAAAAAGAGGAGGCACATGGCTTAGTTTGGGCATTGGACTTGAAGTCAAGAGGACCTACATTCAAATCTAGGCTGAGTTACTTGCTAGCTGTGTGACCTGTGTAAGTCATTTAACTTCTCTGTGTCTCATTTTCTTCATTTGACCTTTAAAATCCCTGCTAGCTCTAAATCTATGAATTTATGATCTTTATTGGTAGAAATCCCTCACTAGGAGCTTCCCATACTGATGAAATCAGAGGTCTAGTGTAAAAAAGAGAGAGATTACCTTCCATTCTGTATCCCCAAGGCCTAGTATTATGCCTGGCACATAGTAAGTGCTTAATAAATGTTTGTTGATTGAATGCTAGGAACAGGTGTACTTCTCATTTTCCAATGCATTCCAAAAAGTACTAGCTCCAAAAAGTTCCTTTTAAAAGGCCTAGTTTTAATAAGTAAAAGGCTATACTAGCCATGCACTTTCTGATTATTTCATAATAATAACACTTGATACATGGTATGTTAACATTTGCAGAGCACTTTACATATAACTTGTCCAGAGTAACACCTAGCAAGAGTCTGAGGCCAGATTTGAACTCATGAAGGTGAGTCTTCTTGACTCCAGGCCTGACACTCTGAAACAGACTTAAAGAGGTTAAATGATTTGTCCATAGCTAGTACTGTGCTATAGACAGGATTCATAGGTTTCCCATTAGATTGTAAAGACTGTAGAGCAAGGTGGTGTCCTGTATTTCTTTTATATCCTATATATTCTAACATATTATTTTATATCCTAAATCTCCTAATATTGTTCTGAGCATATACTATAGCAACTACCTAATGAATAACTGTTAATCAATTCAAGCAAAATATTTAATATATTCCCCATTTAATTTAATTCAATATTTATTAAATGCTTACTATATTCAATAAAGGGAAGCTAGGTGATGCAGTGGATAGAATGCAGGATCTGAAGTCAGAAAGTTGAGTCTTTCTGAATTCAAATCTGGCTTACTAGCTGTGTGACCCTGAACAAGTCACTTAATCCTATTTTTCCCCAGTTTCCTCATCTGTCAAATGAACTGGAGAAGAAAATGGCAAACTACACCAGTATCTTTGCCAAGAAAATCCCAAACAGAGTCACAAAGAGTCAGACACAGCTAAAAAATGATTGAACAACAACGTATTAAAGAAGATCCTCAGTGTGCATGAATGCTTGTGTCCCATCACTTTATCTGTAACCTCATCCACAGTATTGCTCATTCATTTATGATTTGCTTTTCTTAGTGTTAAAGGCTTCTTATTTTGTTTTTCTCTTCTCTCTTTTTTTTTTTAGTGGTGGGCCAGTGGTTAGAAATCCATGCGTGTGTGTGTGTGTGTGTGTGTGTGTGTGTGTGTGTGTGTGTGTGTGTGTGTCTGGGTGTCTGTGTGTGTGAGGGGGCTACATGGATTTATTATTTTCCAGTGTTCTTTCCACTATCCCAGACACAGAACGTTCCAGAAAATAGAAAGAGTGGGTAGAGACCACACCTTTCTAACCTTTGTAGCTTCTCTAACACCTCATCCAGAGCTTTACATTCTGTAAGCACTTAATAAATGTTTATGGATTTAAATAATGTCATTCAAATGGAAATAAATTGGACAACTGCACAACAGTGATATGACAGCTTCCCTCAAACCTTTACCAAAACCAAAAAAAACAACAGTGTAATCTTAGACTATGTCAAGGAAGGGAGGATCATAATTTTGGGGGCCTGAATGGGAACTATGCCACCATACTCTACTGACTGTGTTATTTTCAATTGTTGGTACCACATTTTAGAAAGGATTTTGAAAAACTGAAGAGTGTCTAGAGGAGGGCAGCCAGAATGGTAAAGGGCCTTAAGATCATGTCACATGGAATCAGTTGGAGGAACTGGGGGTGGTTAGTTTAGAAAGAAGAAAACATAAAAGAGAGGACATGACAGCTGTCTGTTAAGAGTCTAGAATGAGGAAGAGGTATTAGAATTGTTCTGTTTGGCCCCAAAGGACACAATCAGTAGCCATAATGGGTATAGATTACAGAGGTACATATTTAAGCCTGGTATAAGGAAAAGCTAATAATTAGAGCTTTCCAAAAGTGGGATGGGTTGCTTGATAAGGGAAGGACCACTTGTTTCATATGCTGTAGAAAAGATCTTTATTCAGATATAAGTTGGACAGAATTGCCTCTGAAATTCCTTCCAACCCTGAGATTTTGTTTATTTCAAGGCTGCTAGCATGACACCTAGTGGTCATCTGATGGATCAGAGAAGAGGGTGTGGTTAAGGCCTATTGACCTAAAGATAAGCCAATAACTAATTGGGGAAAAT